TCTATTACGCCCACTTCTACAGCTAATAAACTAGTTTTGAAACTTATACGTACATTCTTCTCAGATACTCTCTTTTTTTTGTTCGGTAACCGGCAGGGTGAGCGAATGTAGGGATGACCCGCCGCCTCTGGCTAATTCGATTTCATTGGAAGAAAGTTCTAAAAATATAGGTGTTGATTCCAAAAATAGATCGAGCGTATCGAGTACAACCAATGACAGTACAGCTACGCAAGTACCTGCACTGACCCCAGAACGTACTCAGGCTGAGAGTGACGCGTGTGGTAGTAACGAGGGTAGTCGAGGTGCATTGAAGACTGGAATACTATCGAGTGGGAGTAGTGGCCTGACGCCCGCAAGCCTTGGTCGCAAGAGGGGGATGTCCCTTGAAAGTGGACGGCTATCGAGCGGCAGTGGGGGTGTCCGGGCGCGTGTGAGTATGAACCAGGACGTGACAGTCAGTACAGACGGAGGGGGTGCAGGAAACGCATCAGGCACAGGCAATAGCGTACAAAGGCTCCAAACAGGAGACACGCACACGCCCACCACACACACATACTCGGCAGAGGAGATGTACGAGGACTTCAGCGATACAAAGGTCGTGGGCACCGTTCGTGTACGGGCACAAAGTGCCACAGAGAGAAACAGCCCGAGACACCTGACCTTCAGAATGCCTAACAAACGCTGTCCAGATGGCAGTGTAGGTAGGAATGGGGCTGAGACGACCACTGACAAGAGTGTGGGTGTGGGTGGGAGTGTGGGCGTGGGTAAGAACGTGGGGGATAGCTGTCTGGTGAGCGTGAGCACAGAGGCAGCTTTGGACCAGATACGAGCATGTATGCAGATGCGACACCAGAACGAAACTCAGGACAAAGACGGTCCTACCTATCGGGGTAAGGGGAACCGTGACACCGGGGGAATGAGACGGAGACGAAAAAGGGACCGGTTGGAGGGAGGTGAGAGAGGGGTGATAGGGGGTGAGGATAAGGCGTGTGGAAGTAGTAGTACACAGACAGCTGGTAGGAAGGATAAGGGCCTGTGGGCATGTATAATACAGGGGTTGAGCGGCACGGACTGCGAACCGGATTCAGAGACATCCTCAGACACAGACTTGGAGACGGATATGGAAGGGGATGGGGATGTAAATGAGGGTGGGGAGGAATACGGGACGACGAAGGTAAGATGTTGCTATGTGTGTGTGTGTGTATGTATGTATGTATATGTATATATATATATATATATGTGTGTGTGTGTGTGTGTGTGTGTGTACATTAGGTTTAATAAAAATGAGCACATTTACACTCGCACATGCATTCACTATTTATATTTATATGTATAAATATGGTGTGTATATCCTTGTATGTGTGTGCGTGTGTGACTATTCTCATTTTTATGACCCTGGTGTGTGTATTCATATAAAATGCATTGTACATTGCCAAACGTATCTGCGGACGAGTTGTTTCCATTCTTGATATCCTTGCTGTCCGCTTATACAGCCACCTCTATGCCCATCCACACATGCTGCCTGCGTACAAATCTAGCCCCTAAATCCTCTCTCTCAATCCAAACTTATAACTACTACTTTTTCCATCGCCTGGATATATACCAATCAGCTCCCAGACAACACAATCCGATCAGGAGAAAGAAAGTCAGAGGACGGTGTATACAAACGCACTCTCAGCGGTATGACTCATCTGTCGGGCGATCTACTTCCGTTGGTGGATGTGCTCGAGTACAGATCCGATAGCAGTGCGGTTCCCATGGCAACCACGGGAGACACCACAGACATGGCCATCTCACGAGTATGTGAATGTAGGGCATTGCGTTAATAGTGAACCTTTGAATTGAATCTTTGTGGGTGTGTATGTCTACTTTGTCAGTGTGTTTTTATGTTTTATGGTGGTGTGTGTGTATGTGTATGGTAGTTTGTGGGTGTGTGCTTTTAAGGTTTTACGGTTTAGGTTGTTCGTCAGCGTGCTTAGTATGTAGTTCTCGAATATTAACCCACAGATTCGCGGACCGCCGGGTGGCACCATCGAGTTGACCTACGTGTAGTGTGGTCGAGTATATGTTTATACACACATCGTAGTCTATATGTTTATTCAAACATTCTACACTATATAAATATATATATATATATATATATATGTTTAAATGTATACATGTATACATGTATATATGTATATATATATATATGTGTGTGTGTGTGTGTGTGTGTATGTATATGTATATATATATATATTATATATATACTATATATATGTA